TTCTTATCATAAAATTAACACCATTTACATGCCTTGATTCCAACGTTGATCAAAATCAAAACATACAATTATTCTTATACACTAATTCTACATCACCGTTGGACAGAAATAGAATTAATGCATAAATCTTTAACTTTCACAACTGTTCTTACACACTAATTCTACATCACCATTGGGCAGAAGTAGAATTAATGCATAAATCATTAAAATTTATAACTCTTCTTATACACTAATTCTACATCACCGTTGGGCAGAAGTAGAATCAATGCATAAATCATTAAAATTACGATATTGTTATTAACAACATTGGTCCGAAAATAACAACATCATAATTTTATCAAAACTATTTTTCTCCAATTAAATACCACATTGGTTCAAAATAACTGGAGAATCAACAATTTCTTTGGTTGTAGAAAAACTCTCTTTTCCTCAAATTTTACCCACAGGGAAAATTGCTTTTTCTATTTTCTTTAATCCATTAATCAATTTCTAGGAAATAAACATTTATTGAAAAAACTTTCTTTTTCTCTAGTTAAATATCATGTCGGTTCAAAATCACTGGAGAATATACTTTTTCTTTAGCAGCGGAAAAATTCACTCAATTTCTTGAATTTTACCCACAGGGAAAAATTACTTTTCTATTTTCCTTTTGAGCCAATTTGCATTTTTCAATTTTCTGGAAAAAGAAAAAATGCAAAACTGGACTCAAACTTTACTGTTTCGGCCCAAAAACCGCAAAAACGGCTCGGCCCATTTCTTTTCGCGCACGCAGGCCGCACCCAGGCCGCAACCTAGGCCTGGGCCGGCAAAGTCCCGCGCGCCCGCTCGCCCGCCTAGGCCGCGACTTGGCCCATTCAATCTCGGCCATCCATTCACATCCGACGCGGCCGAAGCGCAAGATCTCGCTCAGATAAAAGCGCCGCCATGCCGCGCGCCCGTGAGGGAAAACCCTAGCTCATTCTTTCTATTTGCTTCCTCTCTTTCTTCCCCGCCTCTCTCTCTCTCTACCTCGGTAGCAATGAAAGCACAACGAGAGCGACCAAGAGCGAGCGAGCGGCGACCATGGCACCTTGCTGGCCTCCGCCTGCGCCGGCGCAAGGCTCCCTAACGGGTGAGCCTTGCTGCCATTGCCGAGCGGCTTTGGCCATGATGACCTTGGCCGAAACCAGCGAGACGCGAGTCCCGGCTCGGTATTCTTCTCCCGCACCGGCGAAGGGTTTTCCCGACGCCCGGCGAGGTTTTTCCGTTCCCCTTTCCCTTTCTCCTTTCCCATCCTCTTCTTCTTTTCGATTTGGATCTCGTTTCTCTTTTCTGAACTGGTTAGGGTTTGGATCTTCCCCTTCGGATTTGAGTTGCATTTTCTTTCTTTTCTTTTCGCTTGTTCACCCGAAAAGGGGATCTAGGGTTAGGGTTCGTTTCTTTTGATTTCTTTTCCTCTTTTGGAGTTCATCCGAATGGTTTTCTCTTTTCCCTTTCTCCATGCGAGTTAAGGTTAGGGTTCGGTTGAACCCGGATTCTTTTCCCTTCTTCTCCTTTCCCCTTCTTCTTTTGGGATTAACCCAATTTGGGATTGGGGTTAAAATTAGGGTTAGTCTTAGGGTTTGGCCAAATTCGAATCCACTCTTCTTCTACTGTTTCTCTTCCCGTTTAAGGCTTTTACGGGTTTAGGGTTCGGCTTGAAGTGCCGATAGCCCTTCCTTTCACCCAGTTAAGGTTAGGCTTGGGGAACCTTTATATGTTCAGATCCGAAAGGAACTCTTTTCTTTTCTTAGATCCGAATTGGATCTGTTCTGTTCTTGGGTTAGGGTTCGGCTTCGGGAGCCGAGGGTCCTATCTCTTCTCTGATATGAATGGATCTTGTTTTCTTTTCCCCTGCGCGGTGGCGGTGGTGACCGGTAGACAGTGACGTCCGCCACCCCGGTCTCTCTTTCTTTCTTTCTTCTTTTACCCGGTTAGGGTTAGGGTTACACAGAGGCAATCTAGCTCTGATACCATTGTTAGAATCGATGATTAGTACCTCTGTGTGTGTAACCCGTAGATCCGGGGAAGACCCTTCTCGCCTTTCACTGTTGCGGCACAGCAGCAGCGTAGACGCCGATGTAGGGGCAGCTCCGGCTCGGTGGCGAGACGGCGGTCCGGTGTAGACCTGCAGGGGAACGACGGCGGTGGCAAGCCACATCCCGTCGCTGGCAGCACGACCTTTGATCGGATTAGGGTTTTCTGTAAGTGGGTGTGGTGGCTCCTTCGAACCTCGTGAGCTGAGCCTAGTTTCCCATTCCTATATATATATGTGTTGTGCGATAGAGGCCCACCAACCAGTTATGGTTGAACGCCCCCGATCAGAGCGCAGAGGTAAGGGCCCAATAGACCATTGAGCCTATTGGTGGAAATCAACTAACAAAACATGCCTGAACATTCTGAGCGAACGAACTCACATGCAGTGATGCAGAACTCACATGCAGTGATGCAGACTGTATATGTGCTTGTCTGTTATGCTCTTCTCATCATTAGCCTCTGGAACTGGAATTCAGCGAGTGCTCGAAACATCCAAGAAGTACTACGTGGTTCTGAAAACAAATAGCGAGCGAGGAATAGACTAGAGAGAAAGACAGGGTGAGACCAACCGAGCAGCGAACGGACAGCTACATGCTCAGTGCTGTACCAGTAGTACCAGGCCGTAGCTTTCGCCTTTCGCCTTTCGCCTTTCGCCTTTCGCTTCCGTCCTGAAAACCAAAGGTGCTGGGCTGGGCCGCATCAGCTTCCTCTTGTCTCTGTTTTCCAGCAGCAGCTGCTGCAAAAGTGCAAAGCCAGCCAGTGAGCCAGGCCAGGCATACTGCGTCGTTTTCAGTATTTGTACGTAGGAAGGAAGCAAACTCAAGTGCTATTTGCGGATTTGCCACATGTTGTATACACAGTGCAAATGCACAATGGTGTGTCTGTGGAACACAGCTTCTGAAAAATACGTCTTCAGACGCTGTCCTCGCTAGCCTTGATGATCGTTCCTCGCTAGCCTTGATCATCTCAGAGATTCATCACAGCCGGAAAAATCTGTCTCCGGATGCTCTACCAGCACCGTCGATCTCGCCTGATGGATTGCCTCCGACATCTGATCCACACCAAGATTTCAGACGAAATTTAGTGTTGCTGCTGCTGCTGCCAGCAGCAGGTTACTGAACCAAATCCGCTTTGGCCGATCTCTGAAGACTTTCCACACCCAAACCCAAACGAGAAACCATTGGTCAGCCAAAAGGGCCTTGCACTGCTGGTCTGCAGCAGCCTTTCAGTCCTGCAATGGCCTTGCCACCTACTGCTAGTGCTAGTACTAGTAGTACTACGACCCCCAACTGTTGGTTTCAGTGACGCGCATTGATGCAGCCTTGGTTGGTTGGTGAAGCTCTCAAGCCTGAACATGTCTGTCTTCAACCTCCTGGCCCATGCTTAGGAGGGCCAAAACCTTTGGTGTGTCTGATTCTACTGCCATGTCATGTGGTAGTCAACGCTCAAGACCATGAAAGGTAGGTTTTGTTGTCGTTTTTGTTCTAAAAAGAACATCTTTGCGGCGGTCATGGTTTGAATTTCGTAGTTAGGAGGATCCAATAATTCTAGTCAGTTTCAGTGCTGTGAATGGGTCTGTCTTTGATTGGTGAATGTAAATCTCTGAACCTTTCTACCGAGAATGAGAGCGGAAATAAAGGCCACAACCACCACCTGTGCCTGATTCTACTGAAAGGGTAGCCATCCTGGCCTGATTCTACTGAAAAGGGTAGTAGGTTTCAAGAAGAGGCAAAGTGCTGCAAGGTGTTATCTGTTAGTAGCGTTTTAAGAATTTCACTTTTTTTTCATAAAAACTGAGCTATCACTTGCGTTCGCTTTTGCATTATTATTATATCTTGTTGTTTGATCGGATCAGCTCTGGCCCATCTGACGAACATACATAAATCATCGTTGACCAGTTAAAAGAGACGATGTGGTGGCAACTCACGCTTACAATTTGCAATAAACTACAACACAAAGACCAAACCTTTTTTTCCTTCAAAAAGGAGAGAATTATGAAAGAATATATTCCATGTCAAACCCATGCATCAATCCATATGGCTCTCTGATTGGCGACGACTAGGCTACACCCCAAATGCATCTTTTGACCTGCGATTACACGCACAGTGCATGAACCTCTGGGTATGGCCGGTTTATTTGGGACCTCCGTCTATTTGTCAGTGAGTCGCAGCAGCTCACCTGTCGCACTCACCAGAAACATTTGCTCACCAATAATTTGACGGTTCTTTCGCGCCCTTAATTCCGTGATGAAGCTTTGCTTTGCTTGTGGTGGATCGGCGCCGGAAAAGCAGAGGCCTTGACAGCGAGAGGTCAGCTTTGGCATAAATCTTTTCACTGATGGAGACACCGAGCCCAATGGTTCTCCAACGATTTCGTTAGGCTCAGGGACCATTTGTCCATTTGTGTGGCGCCACTCAGTGACCTTGTCCCAGTTCAGCTACAGTGCATTCCAAATCACACACTTCATTCAATCACACTCACATTTGATTAGTTCCTTCAGAGTCCAAGGAACCAGGAAAATGTCAGATTGTAAATATCTTCAGAGAACATCACCAGGATACAGATGTATAGTATCTGAGGAGAACAGGACATAATTAACAATATAATGATAATGTAGCAAGGATTACAAGTCCAGCAAACTCACTTCTCAGGTAAAGATATCCAGGAGCAAACACCCTTTCTTTCTTTACAAAATGAAAGCTCCCCAAAAGCCTGGAAGAAGTGAACGAAACACACACGCACGCACACGCAGACCAAAAGACAGTTAAGCTATACTAGTCAGTTCATCTTAGTTGGACCTGGACAGCAAACGGAGCAAACTAGAAACGAAGCCAAATCTTCGATCTGGTCCACTTCACAATTCGCTCGGAAAAGCGCGGCTCTCTATATGTTAAACTAAGCAGCCGCTGCCTGCCCTGGGTCCCAGCAGCAGCAGCCAAGGCTGGCTATACATCGGCGACGGCCTGGGTTATGGCGACCTCCATGACAGGTGGATGGGTTACGGTGAATTCAATGGCCGGTGGCGGTGACGGTGGCTCAGGCCAACAGAACTCGAAAGGGGCTTCAAATGGGGACAGTGGAGCAGGCACGGTGATCTCAGCGGGGCATGATTCCGTGTAATGGAACTCGATCTGGAGGCGGTGGTGCAGGGGAGTTGATGCCATGAGACCCTTCTTGATGTCAGCCTGCAGCTCACGGATTGGGATAGCGGCCAAGAAGCTCTTGATGTACTCCTTGCATGCATCCTTACCCTTCAACACAAACTCACACTCTTCAGTGTCCGTTCCACTGTCCTGCTCAGCTAAGCAGATCTCTGAGGAATCCTTGTTGTGGCGTCCACCGGTATCAGGATTTGCTTCCTTCTTTTCAGCAGGCACTTTGTGAATGGTGGTGGTGTCATCAAACTTCAAGATGTATGCCTGGTTGCAACCTTCAGACAGCCTCTCACCAAGTGTATCAATGATGTAATAAGCATCCACATCAACCTTGAGGACAAAAAAGTGGTCATTCCAACTGACAATGTATAGGGTAGGTTTTCCAGAGGAGCACTCTGCTGCTCGGCTTATCTCATCCCAGATGTTATCAAATGACATTGCACCATCAAGGAAGTCAAATCCAGTTACATCCTCAGTACCTTCAGGATGGAAGAACCCAATGAACGACTTACTGGGAACAACTGTGAGTGGGCGGATCTTTGCATGAAGGACAGTTTCAAGATCAAAGTGCTTATCGGGAAAGCGTTCTCTATAGGTCTCATTCTCACAAAGTTTCCTCCATTCTAGAGATCCTTCTCGGATCAGGTTGTCAAACTGTGACCTGATTGGCATCAGGTCCTGGTTTGCTTGGAACCAGTCTGCAACTACAGCCACAAGTGCTGTGCAAGCACTCTCCCCCGCAGCACGTTCACTTCTCTGGTCTATTGATGCAAAGAACACCTGTGTACAAAGCTTCAGGTGGCCATCTCGGCTAAATACTTCCTTTGACTCCCAGTTCCCCACAACAAAATCGTCATCACCAAATACCGACACCATACTATTAGTAGAGCCATTTGATCCCTGCAAATGGAGAAGATGATATGCTGTCAATTAATCTCCAGCATAATGCTAGTACAAAAAAAGAAACAAAAAAAAATCTTGAGATATCAAGAAAATATGTACCTCTGAAACAGATCCATCAGAAGGGGTCAACAGCCGCCGATCATAGTCAATATCATCACCACCCTCTTCTCCATATGGCTTCAACAGAGGCTCCCCTTTAGCCTTTGGTAATTTTGTCTTTCTCCATCGAGCTGGAAATATGCTCCTCTTTCGCCGCAAAGGGATGGAAGCATGCTCCTCAGCTGTGGAGGATGGCACTTGCTCAACATGATAACTGACATCGGAGTTTCGGTGACTGTAATGTACCCAACCCTCATCATCTCCATCAATCCTAGGTGCATAAAGTAGGGCACCGACATTCATAGTCTGCAGTGAGCCATAGCTGAAGGACTTCCTGACGGCTGAACCCCGAAACTCATCATCCTGCTCTCTATCATCCAGATCATCATCAAGAGAGTCAGTATCACAAGAAAATTCTGCACCATCACTGTGAACATAATACTTCTCCTCACTGCCATCATAGTCTTGGTTAGTCTTTTTGAACCTCCGTGTAGACACTAGATGTCTTAGGATTTTCAGATTTCTCAGCCCCACCTTAATGACTGAAACCTCATCTTTTCCAGAAGGAACAGAGTCACCAGAGGAAGGTGACAATGGGGCAATAACAGAACGCTGTGAAGCACCAGGTGATTGTTGAGATATTCTTAGTTCCGCCAGGCTTAAAGTAAGCTGGAAACAAAAATAACGCTAAATGTCATGCAATGCTTAAATATCTGTCGAGAATCACAAACCAAAATAAATCTTGGTAGCCCAATACATGAAGCCACATATTTGACAAGAGGCATACATGGAGTGATGGGGCCAGGTCTGTTGCACTACTAGGCACAGACAATGGTAGGATTATCTCGATTTCCTCTTCAGCAGCAGATGCATAATCTGCTAGGTTCAGTGAAGCAGTCCCCAGAACAAGTTTGCTCTTTGACATTTTATTTGATTCCTGGAGCAACAGAAAAAGAGAAGTCAAGGTGGCTGAAATAAACTGCACAAGTTATTCCCAGCAAACCAACAAAGGAAAGATTGCATCCGTTACTAGTTCTGCATGTTTAGGGACAGTAGATTCACTCGACTTTCTCATAAAAATTTAAATATCCGTCACGAAGCATACCAGACTGCTAGAGGGAATTAATGACCTCAGTTTTAGTTTTTCTGATTCTTTTGTGTGATTGATTCACACGATGCACTCAAAACAAATGGTTGATACAACGTACCCAAGGAAATGGCACTGCAAAATGGCAGTCCACCAAGTGCAAACAAGTGAAAACAAAAACGACAAAACGGTATCCTTGTAACCATAAAAAAGTTAGCGTGTTTGTGCTTCTCTCGGGGCCCCAAGGCAGCAATGCAAGACAAGGACAACAAACCGAAACAATTCATAACGGCCAATTTCTCCTGAGTTTACGGCGCAACATTGGCAACAAGAGTGCAAACTATGCGCACTTGCTGATTTTGCCATCCCTTCTTACAAATAGATAACGCGGAACACGAACTAGTCAAAGCAGGCTAGCTACTGAATTACTTGTCAATTTAAGTGTTTGACAAAAAAGTTTACTCGTTTTGTCGCACGAACAAGAAAAAACCCCATAACAGATTTAATCCAGCTCAGATGCATAGGGGAGACGAGGCCGAGAGAAGGAAGGGATGCTCACGCTGACAACGGAGAAGGAGACGTCCCAGGGGTGGAACGCAGCGGGGTCACGGTGCGACGTCGCCGTGAGCGCCGCATCCCTCTCGAACTCCTCCTCCCAGGCCACCACCGCCGACACCACCGGCGGAGCAGGGGCGGCGGCGGCGCCATCCTCGAGGTCGGCCGGGGCGGCTGCGGCGACGGCCGGCAGCGCCTCCTTCCGCGTCTGGTTCCTGGGCGGTCGCTGGGCGCGCCGCAGCGAGGTGAGCGGCGACATCTTGGGGCCCTTCCAGCTCACCTCCACAAACACCTTCGCCTCGGCCTCGGGGGAACCCTCAAGCGAGAGCGGCGCAGGCGGCGGAGGCAGGCCCTCCGCCCGCCGCACCACCAGGCGGACGCGGAAGTTTCGCGCCGGCGGGGGCCGAGGCCACCGCATCATCCTCGCCACCATCACCGGTCAAAGAGCCCTGGTCCTCCGCCCTCCGGCGAAGAAACCGACGATGCCTTCCGGCAAAAAAGGCCTCCCGGCGACCACACTACCAACAACCTCCGACCGGAAATCCAAACTCCCACAGAAAGATCGTGCCCCACGCCCCAATTGCCACCGAAAATCCCAAGCTCGGCTACAAGAGTACCACGGGAGACTCGATCTCCGCGCCCGAACCGGCTGGCCCAGTGATCCACGAATTGGGGGGACGAGGACGGCGCAAGGTTGGATTTTGGCGGCGGAATCGGGATTAAGGGCGCGGATTTGTGTCGGGGCGAGTCGGGATTTGAGGAGGGAGTTGGAGATTGGGACGGAAATATACGAGGAGAGATGCACGCACGCTCGGAGCGAGCGACGAGGAGGGAGAGTGAGGAGAGGAGAGAGAGGAAATAAATAGGGGGCGAGGAAAAAGCTTTTTTACCGGTTCATTAATTAATTTTATTATTTCTTTTGTAATTTTCTGGGGTGGGAGATATCACAGCGGTGGGCCCGCCGGACGATTTGCAAAAATAGAACTCGAAATATCGGTCGTTTGCAGATTTGACACTGGACGCATATTCATAGACACAGATGGATCCACTTATCATCCACCCGAGTGTCATCGTAATCAAGAGTCAATCTTTTAAGTGTCATTTTTATAATTTTTTGAGCCTGCCCACCGACCGGGCTCGCCCTGCTGTCGCTTCAATGTCGTTTTTTTTTACTTTTTCATTTATTTTATTTTATTTTTATTCTTTTTAGTTTCTGGATAATGCCATTTTAGGGGTTTATGGTTAAGTCTGTTATAATCGTGTGGATGTGTTTGTCTATTTTTAATCTTGTTGAGATAATTCTCGGATAACTAGTGCTGTTTCAAAGTTGAGCCGTTGGATCATTATTTTTTATGGAAGAAAAAAATGTATTAAATTATCCATAGAAATAAAGGATAAAGAGAAACGGAGAGATTGGTTTCTAATCCACATCTATCTGATTCTTTATCTTTCAAAGGAAAGACAAAGAAAAGAGGCAATCTCATGGAAATGCAGATTATCGTTTATTTTTAGGGATAAAAAGTCGTATTTGAGGATGTGTGAAATCCATATGCTTAGATAGATACATGCGTACGTGGCATCATTTGGTTTGTTGGGTTGGGTAGGTTATGACTAGTTCATGTTCAAGATTGAAAAGGTAATATAGTACTATGGGAATATGGTGGAGCGCATTTTGTTGATGTCATTTTATTCTTTGGTATTATTGCAAGGATAATATTCTCATATACATTTAACATGTTTTTTTTTGTTACACACCTTAACGATGATGAGTGAAAATGGAAACAATAGTATATATTCATATTCTTGACATTATATATGTGATGTGGGTAGGAGGAAAACTCGAACCTCCATTATCACTTTATCCTGCCATGGTCTACAATTGATGATATCATATTTGGAACAAATTTGGATGTTACGAAAAGATATATATAAAAAACATAAATATCCATCAATTGCCTTGAACATCTATTTTATAGCTTTACTAATGCTCCCAGATAACATGTTTTCTTGTTTCAATTGGTAATGATATAGTTCATGTCTTTCTTTGTTTTCTTACCTTCCACTACATGCACCATGTAGCTGCCTAGACGGGTAGAATCCACATACCGATATGTATGATGGGCTTAACTTACAAGGAACAACGAACGACGCCCTGATCTCTTCTAAAAATGCATGCTTAATTTATTCATATAAAATGAATACTATATATTGTAAGCTTAATAGTGACGATATTTTTTGTGCAAGAAAAATAAAGCTTTATATTACTCACAAATAAATGCTATGTACTTTTGAGCAATGATTTACTCCGTGCACACTGACATATTGAAACGCCATATACCGCAGAATGAGTGACAAGTGTAGGAAGATCAGAATTTATTGAGAGTATAGAATAGGATCGGAGAACTGATTGAGCAGTTATACAATATGCACATAAACTATCTAGTATTTGCAGATACAACTAAGCTACATAGGGGTGCACAAAACCACTGGGTCAAGGAACAAAAAGAAGACCTTTGGAACAAGACAAAAGGCAGGGATAAGGTCATCACACGATTAAAACTAATATATTATGTGCACTTGTTCCTCGGTTATCATGGCTCTGCAAAGTGTGTCCATACAAGAGCCAGACAAATGTCCAGCCATTGTTCAAAGCAAAAGCGTGTCTGGTATGTGCTTGTGTTGTACTACTCCTACTCCTTGATGGTGATCTTGCCGAGTCATTAAACTAACAACACAAGTTTTTGGTGGACACGCGTGGATTGACCTGACCCTGGAATGATTACTCTCTGGCTCTTGGGGTCCATGTGAGAGCATGCATGGATTATGTGCACCTCGTGCTCTAATAACCAGCCTGGGGCTGGTTCGTTTCGTTGCTGGTTCGTGAAGAAGCACTGCTGACTGGTTTATGTGAGAGAAAAATACTGTTCCGACTGAAATTTATGATCGTTTACGACAAGCCACAGCCAAACGAACAGGCTGAACGATCTTGCAAACAAAAGTACTAGTGTGAAAAGTTAACCTCATTTCGTTAGCATTAGTTGACTATATATTTAAGTTTAATTTCCAGCAAAATTTTAAGGAATTTTCAGTGAATTAGCAATTGTGAAAAAAGAAAGATAAAATAAAATGTAGGAGGTCGTATATATAAAGTTTCTATGTGCATTTGCTAGTCCATTGACACAATTGATAGATAGATGCTAGGATAGGATGGCAGGCATGTGCAAATATGCAGAAGAATTTCTCATCGCTTGGTGCATATGGATATGGCCAGCTAGCTAGAGAGGTGGAGAGAATATGCCTGCGAGCAGCTAGCACTGCAAGCAATTCCATGGCAGGCTGTGTCTGTGTGGGAACTATTATTCCAATTCCAATTCCAATTCCAATCCCAGTCCATCCCCAAGTGCACGCACGTACGAGGAGGCCACGGCTCACAAGCAATGCCAACTGTGCACAAAATCGATCGTGGTTGCAAGCACGCAAAATATAATCTCTTGGCTCTTGCATTAATTATATCTTTCTCTTCGAGGTTGAGATAAAATATATATGTACTTATATCATAAATCTATCTTTTGTAACAAATTAAAGCGTCATGTCTACTCTAGCTTTTGTAGGAATTTTTTTTTAAAAATCACCAGTCTATATGCCCGTTTTTTTTTTCTAGGTGTGCATGTTATTAATAATAACCTGCCCACCCGGGTTCAAATCTTTAACTTAGCACGGGTGCTCGTATTTTTTCTGGATTTATTTCAGGATTTAACGGCGCTATGCTTTCAGTGGTAGGCGACGTCCCCGTCAACAGCGAGCGTCAGTGGTGACTTCGTGAATCTCGAAATCTGCCGACTCAGTCCTTCGGAGGTGCTCATAGGGGTAGGGTTTGCGTACTTATGTTCATAGGGGTGAGTGTGCGTGCGTGCTGTGAGTGTCTGCGTTGTACTATGTAATTCTCAAAAAAATAATACATATATTATATATAATACAAAATCCATGTTTTATTTATTTTATTTGACATAGGCATCGACAAACAGATTATTGAGTATAATTATATCATTGTAGCACAATTAAACCAGGTGCGTATGCATGAAGAAATATATATCATAAAGTTTTCTTGCACATGCATCACGCGTATAGCAAGATATTCTTGCTCCATAGATTCTATCCGCGTGGAAGTTAAAAATCGCCATCATCTTCTCTCCGCGCCACATGTTTCACACATGTATGTGATGTAAGCCAGTACACGAAAATGATTTTCCCATAATAACTTGAGTACTTGACCAGCTAATTAATAATTATCATCCCCATCACCACTTTATTTATGCATATAAAAGGTATCTGCCTCCATTTTCCACGGTCAGAAAACCCATCCATAAAACCACGGACGAAAGCGACGGCACAACACCCCTGTATATCCACCACCCTTGGCCGAATTTTTTATTTTTCAGCCTTATTTTTTGAAAAATATTTACAAATAGGTTTTTGGTGGTTTGATTTTCGTTTATGGACCTTGACCTCGACCTTGGCGTCATGACTTTTGGCGCCGAGGAAACACGTCTCGGCGTTATGGCTAATGGCGCCGAGGTCTTGGCAAGGCGTCGAACGTGGCGGTGACCTGGCGCCGACGTGGACAAGACCTCGGCGCCATAGATCTTGGCGCCGAGCTATTACCCTATAGATCTTAGCGTTTGAAATGAAATAAGTATAATTATTTCGAGAAACATGCAACAACGCTATTGTGGTTTAGCTAGTTAGAACTCGCGCGTCTTAGCTCAAAGGCTAGAGTTCGGATGACAAGTATACTGTACATCTGTTGGCTATTATTACGAATAAAAAAAGTCTCAACCGGGACCACTTTCTCTCGTGGACGTGGACTACATAGAACAGGATGAATAATAGTGCATCTGTGCATGTCATATCTTTTGTACTGTTTCTAACAAATGTCACATTAACCGAAATTCGCTTAGCCTATTTTACTGTATCTAACAAATGTCTATCTAATCGCATTAAATTTTGCACTCTAGTTTTAACCCTACTCGATCTGGAAATACTTAAAAACAAGAATTGCATGAAAGTATAGTGAGGTGAGAAAATTTGATCCCCTACCCCACCCCCACCCCCAACGGAAAAAACTACTCGTAGTTTACTGAGCTTTTAATTTGTTTGACGGTTTGAGAGCATAAAAAAAGGAGAAACAAAAAAATGACAACCCATAGTTTCAACTGAAAAATAAATCCACATGTTTACAGAGCAACCGAGGAAACAAGAATAGCGAATGGTGATAATACGAAACAGCAGCTTTGGGTTGTTCGTCTCGACAGCTGGATTTTTAGTGACTTGTTGGTTTATTTGTGGGAGTTCAGCTCCACAGTATTTACAGAGCAGCTGGATTAGTACCTACATAGCGAAAGTTCAACGTCAATATGGGTGGATATTGGTAAG